GCAGGTCATGGGCACCGTGTCAGACGTGCTGCACCGCCTGGGCACACACGGCGCGGCCGCCCAAAGCCTCAGGGTCGCCATCTACGCCCGCTCCTTTTTCGACGACGTGAGTGCCCCGGGGGGGAAAACAGGGTGCCCCTACTTGTGCCCCTCCTGTGCCTAGACCTGGTCCTCAGAGGCAGGGGGATCCCCAGCTGCCCTCACCTGGGCTGGGGAGACGCCCCCAGGGGCATACCCGGGTGTGCCCCTGAGACACCCGGGCCGAGCCCGGCCGAGCCTGCTGAATGGCCACCAGGTGGCGCTCGGCCCCTCTCCACGAGGCTGACCGAGCAGCACCGCCCCCCAGCCCCGCGGCCCCCGAGGTTGGGATGAGACCCTGAGCGCAGAGACATGAGTTCAGGTCCTCCCGGAACACCCGGAACCTGTCTGACAGGGGAGGCACGGCCCTGCCCCTGGGGGTGGGAGCCTGGGGAAGGGGCTCTGCGGCCAGAACTGAGCCCCATCCCCTAGGCAGGGTGGGTCCCGGGCTGGGTGGGGATTGGGTTCAATCGAGCCCCAGGCGGGTTCAGGGGTGGCTCTGAGCCCCCGCCTTGCAGGAGCGGGCTGGGATCCGGGCGGCGGCCATGGCGCTGTTCGGGGACCTGGTGGCCGCCGTGGCCGGCAGGGAGCTGAGCGGCCTGCGGGCCCAGGTACACCAGAGCATGGTGCCCCTGCTCCTGCACCTGAGGGACTGCTGTCCGGCCGTCGTCAAGGTCTGCGCCTGCTGAGGGGCCTTCCCCTGGGTGGGGCTGGGGACACACAGGTGGCTGGAGGGGGACAGCGGGGACTGAGGTTCTGCCGATGGCAGTGGGGCCGCCCGAGGGCAAGGCTGCTCCCAGGTGGCGGTGTGGACCCAGGGTGGCTTCCTGGTGGGCTGAGGTCCACCGAGCACACGCACACACACGGCTGTGCGGTCCCTGGGGGTCTGACCCGGCCTGTTCCACTCACTGCGGCGTCCCCGGCACCTGACACGGGCTGGGGCTCGGCTCATTCACCGAACACGGAGAAACGCTGGAGCTTCTCTGTGCGCCAGCCCGCCCTGCAACAAGCAGCCAGTTCCGGAAGGGACGGGAGGAATGGGACCGGCCTGGGGCAGGAGTGAGGCTTCCCTGGGGGGAGGGTGGGGACGGCCGGGGGGACGCCATCAGTCCTCACACCCCACGTGAAGCTCGTGTCTGGGGAGGGCAAAGACCTCTGGCGCTCGCGCCCATGGCCGGTCACCCCTCCCGCGGCTGTCCCCGCAGCAGGCCAAGCTCTCCCTGTACCGCTGCGCCCTGCAGCTCCGGTGGCGGCTTCCGCACACCCTCTTCTGCACGCTGGCCTGGGAGCAGGGCCTCAGCGCCCGCCACTTCCTCTGGACCTGCCTGGTGAGGGGCCTGGGGCGCAGGGACAGGCTGCCCTTGGGAGTGGGGGGAGGCCGGGCAGGGGACGCTGGAGCCAGGCTCCCGTAGGTGTGGCCCCAGGGTCGGCAGGGGCGGGGTGGGGTCCACGGTCCCGCCCCCACGGTGCTGTCCTTGGGCCAGATGACCCGCAGCCAGGAGGAATTCAGCATCCACTTGGCGCAGGCCCTCAGCTACCTGCACAGCCGGCACCGCCACATCAAGACCTGGGCGGCGCTCTTCATAGGTGAGCGGGGGCAGCAGGGCTCCCGGCCCCTCCAGGCCGGCCTGCCCCAGCGCCCTGACCCTCCCTGCCCTCCCGCCCACTGGCACCTGCCAGGCTGCTCAGGTCCGCTGGCAAGAGAGGAGGGGTGGCGGGTGCGGGGCCCCAGACTGGCAGGACGGGCAGGAGATGGTCTGAGCCCCCCACCTCCCACCAGCAAGCCCCCTTCCACTAGCCAGCGCCTTTGTCTGTCACCCAGGTTACACCACCTGCTACCACCCCCAGGCCGTGTCCCAGATGCTGAACAGTGTCGACACAAACCTGCTCTTCTCTAGTAAGCCACCCCAAGTCCCCGGCAGCCCTCCCACCCCACCTCCAGGGTGAGATGGGTGTTCGCACCCACTCACGCCAGCCGCGGCTCCCCAGAGTGAGGGGCAAGGAACAGGTGGGGTTGGGGAGGGCGGCACCCCGGGCCTGGGAGGCAGAGGAGGTGGGGTCTGGGTGACCTCCAGCTGCTGCCCCCACCCCTGCTGGAAGGACGGGACCCCAGGTCTCCCCTGATTGTGTCTCCTCCCCTGGAGCTTTTGAAGATCTCAAAAAGGACCCAGAACCTGGCATCCGGGAATTTGCCACCAGACAGTTCTCCTTCCTCCAGAAGGTGGCAGCCGGACCGCAGTGACCTCCAGCCGTCCTCCCTCACCCTCCTGTCCCTCCCTTGTGCCCACCGGCTCAGTCAGCCCTGCCCCATTCACACAGAGCTTGGTTGCATAACATTTTTCCATTTGAAAGAAAGATCTAGATTCAACAAAGAAGCGTCACACCTGTCGGCTCCCTGCCCACCGCCTCGTGGCCCCAGAGAATGGAGGCAAGCTCAGGGGACACTGGCAGGCCTAGGGGACAAGGGGGCAGACCAGGTGTCCCAGAGACAAACTGTGAAGTCTGTGCAAGGTCCTGCAAATGACAGGTTCTCCCTTCTCGGCCTTGGTCTCCCCACCCATGAAATGGGCACGTGGGTCTTTCCCTGGCCTGAGGTTCCTCCTAGGGACTCACCTCTGGGCTGTCCCTCTTAGGACGCCCACCAGACCCACCGGCCCCCGCCAGCCTTACCCGTCAGGCGCCCACACCAACCCCTCCACACCTTTGCTCAGGAAGCTCTTCCCACCCGGTGCACCTTCCCCACGCCCTCCCACCTGGGGGCCCCCACGCCCCCCTCCTCCGAGGATGAGCCCCGGGCAGAGGGAGCCCCCACCCAGCCCTTCCTCAGCCCTGGGGCCCTCGCAGGGGACACGCTCCCAGGCGCTCACCCCACCCCACCCGCCAGAAACTGTACGCCCCTCGGGACAGGGACACAGCTGCCAGGGGCTGGCCTGGGGGAGCCCCGCCACTCGGATGGTGGGTTGAAACACTACAGCAACCTTCACAGAACACGAGTTCGCTAGCCTTCTCAGATGCGTTTCATTTGGCAGAGCTGGGGGCCCCCTCTCCCCCTGGGAGCCCAGAGTGGGCTGGGATCTGCAGCTGCCCGCTTATCCGTCTGTCCCTGTCTGAACAGAGCGCCAGACGAGTGACTTGGGTGGAAGGGAAAGGGGGGGCGCTTGCCTTTTCCCGACCCCCATCCTGTGACCTCCACGGGTGCTCCAACCCCCTGGCTGGGGCACAGGGGGGGTGTGCCCTTTCAAAACGAAAGAGTGGGCTAACAGGGTCCCCTTGGTCCAGCCTCGTGGCTGTGGTCCCTAAAAGGACCCCCAAAAGGGGAGCTTCGTCCTCCAGCCCCTGCCAGGCAGTGAGCGGGCAGGCCTCCTCCACACTGTGCTCCGGGAAGTCCGGCTCAGTGAAAGCTGGAGCCAGTGGGTCGGACCCGAAGCCGACCGAGAGCTGAGGGACGAGCCTGGCATCAGGGAGGGGCCCCACTCCCACCTAGCAGGGCGGCCAGGCTCTGTGGAGCGGGGCACAGGGAGGGCGCCCCATTAACAGTGCCAGTGGTAACAGCTGCAGCAGGCCGGGAGACGAAGGGACAAGACTGTGTCCCCATTGGCCAACCCCCAGGGCCCCAAAAAAGGGGCAGCCCACACAGTGCCCCCAGGGCCCGCCGGGCAAGTGCAAGCAGAATGGACTCAGGCAGGACACCTGCCTTCAAGCGCACAACACTGGACCCTTCCTGGGCATGCCTCCTCCTGTGGAAAAACAGAAGGGGCGACAAGTGGGTAGCTCAGGGAGCCCTTCCCCACACACCTCTCCCAGACTGTGTGCAGGGTGCGGGGTGGAGAGAGGGAAGCTTGGGCCAGGGAGATGTAGGTGGGGAGTGGCCTGATGCCAAGCCCGGAGCTGTGACTCCTAAGACAGCCGCTGGGTCCCAGTGACTAGGAGAAATGCCACCGGTGAAGGTCCCTGGGTGGTGTCCACAGCTGGGTCCCAGTGCCTGGGGGCAGGGGCTCTAGCACGCCCCACCCCCAGCCAGGCCGGCCCTGGGCCCCCTCCTCCTGGCCGTGCCCTGCACAGGGAAAGGCCGGCCCCCTGCTCGGGGAGACCTGAGCACGGCAGTCCACACGCCCCGGCAGGCCTGGCCGCCCCTCCTGCACCCTCAGGCTCACTCACCCCATGGAGCCTGGGGTCACCCTCTGCCTCTCTGGCTTCCCCTCCCTTCCCAGGGCCGATGGGATGGTGTGTCCCTCCCGCTGGAGCCAAGCTGGCCACCGCCGTCTGCACCCTCCTCTGGGCCTCTAAGGCTGAAATGAGGACACCCGGTGGGGGCAGGACTGAGCGGCCACCCCACGACACACGGGACCCTGAGGACTTACCAAGTGAGCCCCAGCCTGTCCTGCAGAGGGCCAACACCGGGGACCTGGCCTTGCCTTCGGATGTCCCAGCGCCCCCCAAAAACAGAAGGCACCTGGGTGGGGCCCCACGCAGGCCACATGGGAGTGGTGCTGGCTTGGGCACATCAGGGACGTCCCCTGCCCCTAATCCTGGGAGAGCGCAGGGACCCAGGATGGATGCCAGGGGGACCACAGTGCAGCCGGCCGGAGGGCCCCCCTCCACCCGCTCCCGTCCATCCCGCCTGGCCCCGCACCACACTCTCCAGGCGCACACACAGCCATGGGGTCCTGCTTTATTGCCTTTGAGGGTCCAGGACGGCGGACGGTCTCCAGACCCAGTAACTGAAAGTGCCAAGGACAGGTCGGGGCGAGAGGCCGTGGAGGAGGAATCGGGCCCAGTAGTTAGAAAGAACGCGTGCTCCCTGACAAACGAGCCTGAGCGGGCCCTGTGGGTGGGCAGGGGCGGGAGGGCAGGGGCGCCCCAACAGAGCCTCAGAGAGACAGGGCAGGGGGGCCGAGGGAAACACGGAGGGCGCACGGAAACACGGCACAAACAGAGGAAGGAGCCAGCACAGGGCGAGCCTGAGCCGCGGACAGGGGTGCCGAGGGGCCGAGGGCCCGGAGAGAAGGCGAGCGGGCGGCAGCGAGGCGGTGGCCGCGGTCTGCTCGGAGGCCCCGGAGGCCCCGGGCTACATGACGCAACACCTGGTCCTGTGCGCGTGCGGCTCCTTGAACCGCAGCCTCTGCCTGGGCCGGTATTTCTCCAGGTAGGTGAGCTGCTTGCTGTTGATGGCTCCACGCCGCTTCCTGCGGGGACGGCACAGGAAGGGGTCGTGGGTTGGTGCCACGCCGGCCCAGCTCCCAGGACGGCCTCCACCCAAGATCCTCCCCTCCCCCACCTGCGGCCACTGCGGCTGGCCCCCTCCTCCAGGCACCCCCATGGCGCCCACCCTCCCCAGGCCCCCTCGTTTCTCAGGTACCACCCCACCCCCGGGCCACAGGGTGGGACCCAGGCATCTCCGCAGCTCAAGAGGGAGGGAGGAGGGGGGGACTCGGGTGACGGGTGATGGGACGTGTCAGGATGGCTTGGTGGGTGACAGGTGATGGGATGTGTCAGGATGGCTTGGTGGACCCTTCAGGAGGTCATCCGTCCCCACCCACCCAGGCCCTGGAGCATAGCCGTGGACTTGCTCTGTCCAGTGAACCACGAGCCAAAGGGGCGCGTGTCTGCCAGGCCAGGCTTCCGGAGCCCCTCTGGCCCCAAGACTGGCAACACAGGAGGAGCTCGGCGCCCCAAGGGCCCCAGGGTCCCTGAGCAGAGCCCCCAAATCACCGCATCGAAGGGTCAGATGAGGGAGAGACACGTCAGAGCTGTGCTCGCTGCTGGGGTTTGGGCCTGCCCGGTGCCACGGCCTGTCCTCATTCCCGCAGCCAAGGGCCATGGAGCCGGGAGCCACGCCTCACCCACACGTCCCAGCACCAGGAGCCACACACAGGGACCAGCCCTCACCCTGGATGGCGGCCTGGCTACGGGACCCACACGAGTGCGTCATACCCCAGCGTGAGGCTGCACGGAATGGGGGACGTCTCTGAGGTCACCCTGTGGCCAAGGGTCAGGAGCGTCTGCTGACAAGACGCTGGGCCCTATGGGGTGGGGAGTGCCGAGTAACGGCCCCCTGAGCCCAGACCCCCAAGCGCACACCCACTGCCCTCCGCCCCACCCTCGCCGGCCACTCACTGTCGGATGAACTGGATGGCGTCTTCATACTTCATCCCGCTCTCGATGAGAGCCAGCGCCACAAGCACTGGGGCCCTGGGGGGAGACGCAAGGCTGGGTCACCACGCCTCGGCACCCCAGCCCCTTCCCCGGACGGGTCCCCGCGGAAGGCACAGGGCGATGCCTTCCCTCTCACACCCACCACGAGGCTCCCCCAGTGCAGCCCAGCCTCCGAGGAGGGCACAGGCCGCAGCTGAACCCGACACCTGCTGCATGGCCCCAGGCCACGTGGTCCTTGCCCTGAAACTGGGGGCGCACTGTCCGGGTCACTCAGTCACCCCTGGCGGTGGGGGGGTCTGTGCATCTGGGGGGCGGGCTGTCAGCTCCTTCCAGCTCCAGTGCAGGGACCATGTTGCAACCCAGCAGCAGGGGGTGGGGCCAGACTTGGGGAAGGACCGTCCCTGGGGTCACGTGGGGGTCAGCACCCACCGCGAGAGCGCACGGACCACAGATCCCGCCGTCCGGCGAGCCCCGCCCCGCGCCCCCCCGGCTCACCGTCCCAGGCCGGCGACACAGTGAACGGCCACACAGCTGCCAGGGTCATCGCAGAACTTGGCCCTCAGCAGGCTCAGCCAGTCCTCCACCACCTTCCCGGGCGGGGGTGCCCCGTCATCAAAGGGCCAGTCCTGCGGAGGGCAGAAGCCCGTGAGGCTGGGGGGCCGGGGCCGGTCAGCCCCTGGCCCGGACAAGGTCGGCACTCTGGGGAGCACAGAGGGACCCCGCGAGGGGGAGGGACAGCAGGCCCCAGAGGGCAGAGCGCTGGCCAGGCCTGCCGTCCCCATGGCAAGGCTTCTCGTGCCTCTCCTGCAGACTTCTGTCCCCTTCTCCCCGAAGCCCTCCCAGAACACCCATCCTCTTCTCTCCTAAGCACAGTGAGCCCTTCGTCCCCTCCCTGCCAGCCCGCGCTGTCACTCCGGGGTCACAGCCTGACCCTCACCAACCTGAGTGTTTCTGGGTCAGCAGGCCCAAGGGGTCTGGGCAGCAAGCGTGGAGGGTACGTGCACCTCCTGGCCCCAGCCCCCAGCCCCACCGCACAAAGCAGGCCCAGCCCGGGTACCCCCTGGGAAGGAGCAAAGGAAGGGTGGTAGGGTGAGCCACACTGTTCAGGACGCTGGATTCCAGACGGTTCCTGCTGGGCCCTCCCCCGACATTCAGGGTTCATCCACTTTAGGATTCGTCCGGTTTTGGAAACTTAGCGGCGCTGCCCCCCTCCCCCGGCACTCTGGAAGAGGCGAGGCGAGGCGAGCCTGCAGGCTAAGCCCAGGCTGGGTCACGGCCGTGAGGGCAGAGATGCTTAAGTCCCGGCCAAGGACGCGCAGGCAGGGCAGCAGGAAACCGGTCCAGGGCCAGAGCCCTCTGACACCAAGGGTGAGTCCACATGGGCTCGCCACGGCTGTGGGCAAGGCGGGTCCCGGAGGGAAAGCTGGTATCGGAGGCCCTTCGGATGCTAGGCAGGCCGCCGCTCGACTCCCGGCTGCCCCCCCACTCCATGCCCCGGGCAACCCTGCCCTACAGGGGATGTGCCACAGTCCCACAGGCGGCTGGCAGCACAGCCAACCCATGCCTTGCCTGATCTCAGGTCCCCAGAGCCAGGAGACCAAGGAGACAGCTCCCAGGCTCCCTTCCCCACGGCCTCGCAGAGTGCTTCCCCGGGGACAGCCCAGGTGTGCCCACCCGCCCCTCCCCACCACAGCGCTGCCCACCCACGAGCCCCATACTGCAGGCAGCAAGACACAGGGAGCCCCAGCGGCCTGGCCCCGAGCTGCTGGCCGGGAGCCAGTGGGCCCGGTTCCTCCCCACCGCTCAGGATGCCTGTGCAGTGAGGGCTCTGGCCGTCAGAGCTCCAGCCACCCAGTCGGGGGCTGAGTGCTATTAGGAAAGTTCACTCCCCCCAGTGGTCCGGCCCCGGCCCCTTCCGGCTGTGGCCTCAGACAGCGACCGAGCCTCAGGCTCACCCTGGCAGAGCCCCAAGGGCACCTGGCAGAGCCTGGCAGCCCCGGCACTGGGGGGACCCCGCTCCGGGAGCCACGGCTGTGCATCCGGCACATGTGCCCGCCTCCTGGGCCCCACTGGCTAGGGACAAGCTCAGCCACTCTAGATATGTGCCCAAGCATCACGCGGCCTGAGCACCAACAAGCAGGGCGGGGAGGGGGGCAGGTGACAGGCAGCAAGGCATATGCCCGCCTCCCAGCGAGGGAGCCCCACACTCCCAGTGCAGGCCCACCCCACACCGCCCATGTCCCCCAGCAGCGGTGCCACCAGAGCCCCGAGGCCCTCACCACGACAGTGATGCCGTCCTTCTCCAGAGGGGCCTTGTCGTAGGTCACGTCACACACTCGCACCACAGTGGTGGCCCCGTACTTCTTCAGGTCCTGGCGGGGAGGGAGGACAAAGGCGAGCTGGGCTGCGGCTGAGGGCCCAGGGGTGCACACCCCTGTCCGTGGGCCCCCAGGGCAGGGCCACACCCCCTTAATGAAGCAGGCTGGTTCCAAGCAGAACGGTCAGCGGTGGGCTTTCGGGCCCCATGACTCACTATGTGGGGACGGGGTCTTCCTGATGCTTCCGCACAGGCCGTCCCCACCTGCTCTCCCTGCAATGTGACTAGGCCGCCGTGAACCCAGCTTCCAGCACATTCCCACCCTGCTCTTGGGTGCTCAGGACCCCCATGGTGCCAGCATCTCCCAGACAAAGCAGGGGCAGGACACCGTGGCCCGGGCTGCCCTCCTGGCCGGGGTCCTGTGCACGGGTCCCGCTGAGGGCCCAGCCAGCCCCCACACGAGGGCCTGCAGCATCTCAAACGGCAGTCAGGCACGTGCTCAGAGGCAGCCGGGCCCTACTACCAGCGGGGAGCCCCGGGCTACCAAAGGAAAGGTCGAGGCAGCTCACAGCCAGGCTGTTGATATCTACCCTCTAAGCGGAGGGTCCGCTCCACGGGAGCCCGTGTGGGGCTGCTCCCACCCCACCTGCTCCAACAGCCATTCTGGGAGTGATGAGCCATCACCGGCTGGACCCGCTCGTCATGCGATGGGGACACAGGACACGATGAGGGGGGGACACCGCCATCCCAGGAACACAGTGCAGGGTTGCCTCAGAATTCCTCTGTGCACACAGCACAAGGGGAGCCACTCAGCCCAGGGCTGGGCTCTGACCCTCGACACAAACTCTCCTTGACCCTGGTCACACTCTGAGCCCTGACCCTGGTCACACCTTCTGACCCTTGACCCTGGTCACACTCTGAGCCCTGACCCTGGTCACACATTCTGACCCTTGACCTTGGTCACACTCTGAGCCCTGACCCTGGTCACACACGGACCTGAGCCCGGTCACAGGCTGATAGCTGAGTTGCCTCTTTCCCCAGGTCCTGCCATTACCTTGAGGGCCTGCGTGGTGAAGAGGGACAGCCCTCTTCTGCAAGGCTCTTGGCAGTGTCCAGGACCCAGGCCCCTGATGGCAGGATGTCCCTTGCCTCCCTCTCTACAGTGTTCCAGGTCCTCTTGTGCCCAGGTCCCTGTTTAATAACAAGCACGTATAGGGGCCGTCCTCACAATGCAGAGGGGAGTGCTGAGGGTCCAAGACCACCGGAGCCCTTAAATGCAGCAGCAGGCTCTGCAAACAGGAAGGAGCTCTGCAGAGGCCGGGCTGTTACAGGAGGGCACATGGAGAGCTGCAGGCTCTGCAAACAACGTGTGGTCACCCCCACTGTGGCCAGCTCAGACTCCTGCCCAGCCCCTTCTCCTAGACCTCTCCCTGAAGCCCCCAGCCCAGCCTGTCCTAACCCAAGGCCTCCCTGAGAGCCAGCAGGCTTCCCGCAGCCTGGGCTGGCTGTGGCACGGAACTTCACCTGCCTGCCCCCGCTGCTTCAGCGGCCACTTCTCACAGTGCGACCCTCCCTCCTCCTTCCCGCTCAGCCTGCACACAGCGGCCAACAGCCAGCCACAGACGCCGTGTGGGGCCATGCCCGCTGGCCCTCCTCCCACTGAGCCCACCTCGAGCCACTCAGCGTGGAGCACCCCTGCCCTAGCCGTCCTCCCCTGCAGGCCCCGGGGAGCTGCTGACCTTCACACGGAGCTCCCCAGGAACACCCCAGGCTCCCCGCTCCGGGGCCCTAGGACCAGGGTGACAATTCTGCCACGAAGCGCAGCCCTCGTCTGGACAGCTCCGAGCCCCACCCCCACCGACTCCTGGGCAGCGAGCCGGGCACCCGGGGGCCCCACTCACCTGGATGAAGGTGCTGAGGGTGGCGTCGGTGGGGTTGTGCGTGATCAGGAAGCGCATGCTCTTGTAGCTCACCTCCACGGGGGCCGGCCGGTTCATCCGCGCCATGCTGCTCCGCCGTCGCGGCGAGGCCCGGGGAGGCGAGGCCCCCACGAGCCCCCGCGCCCCAAGGAGACAGAGATCCCGGTGCTTGCCCGACACACAGAAAGCGCTTCGTAGTCCCGCCTGCACAGACACTGTGCGATGCCCGGGGGGTGCAGGGCCTGGGCCCCGAGTCCAGCTCTTCACAAGCACAAGGGAAGACAGCCCCCAGGGCAGGGTGGCAGCCCACGCCCCCAACGCGGGGAGCTGGGCAACGATGAGGGGCAAAAGGGAAAATGGGGACACCCAAACCCCGGCCAAGACCTCACAAAGCCCAGAGTGAGTCTGCCGCTGGGGCTCTGCCCGGCGCCGTCCGCATCGGTGGACAGGCAAGCGGCCCCCTTACCTCGAAGGCGGGCCCCGGACCCTCAAGGACCAGATGGAACCTGAACTTGAACTGAACCCACAGGGCGGCCTCGGAGTGGGGGTAGGGGTGGTAGGCAGCAGCCGTGGCGGCGGGCGGCTCTGACGCTAGGGGCCTCAGTCACGTTACCCCATCAGGGTACTGCGAGTCCTGGAGAGGGCCCGGGGGCTCAGGCCGCAGAGCCGGCCCGGGGCCGGACAGCAGGGGCCATCGGCGGGCGAGGGCAATGGTGAGGGCGAGAGGCACAGGGGCCTCCTCAGCAGCAGGCGTGGCGGGGATGTTGGGCCCAGCAGTATTCAGAGCTACCTGCCGAGGCCCTCTCCATAAATCCCAGGCTGGTCAGCAGCGGGCCACGTCTGCGGGAGAACCGGAAAGAAAAGGAACAGACAAGGGGTCACCTGGAGCCCCCGCCTCTGGGGAGGGATGGGAGCCTGCCCACTTCGGCTGTCGCAGCCAATGCTAACCTAGGGCCCTGCTGCAGGACCGTGCTGGGGGAGAGACACTCGTCAGGCCTCAGTTTCCCCACCTGGGAGTACAGGAAGGAGGGCTCCCGCCGGGGCAGTCTCAAAGCCTGGACAGCCACCAGAGTGGAGTGAAAAAGGACAGAGGGGGGGACTCCAGGGACGCACACCCCAGGAGCATGCTGCACCCCAAGGAGCAGATTTCAAGGTCCCCGCCCCAAGCCTTGCTCCCCCCTCTGCCGCCTGTGACCCGCAGACACCCACCCCCAGCCAATAAAGTCACACTGCTCTGTGGAATTCCGGGCCCCTGTGGAGTTTCAGAGCCCAGATCGTTCCGGGGCGGCCGGTCCTCCCGGAGAGGGGCTCAGGAAGGGCTGCCGTAGAGCGGGGCCGCGGTGCAGCCCCACTCACAGCTGTGAACCTCCTGAACTTGTCCCCCATGCCCCGTGGGGATCCCTGGCTCCTGCCAGCCTCCACCCCTGCTGTCTCCACCACTCACCCACAGGGCTGGCCCGACGCGGGAGTAAACAAGCAGGCCTCTGCCCTCGGGGAGCTCGGGGCAGAAGAGGCAGCCACTGCGGCCAAAAGCCCAGCGAGCCAACAGAGCATGCCAAGGCGTGACAGTGCAGGTGGCCAGGAGTGGGTCACACTGTGATGGCCTCAGGGAGGGACGCTGCCGGACCACTGAGTCAGCCATCAAGCATGTCCACAGGCATGTCCATGTCCATCTGTGGGCCCCGAAGTTCTCAGGGACCCCGGCGGGACCACCCGGCCCCACCGCCACCCCCACAGATGGGCTGGGAGACCTTGGGCAATCAATGGCCTCAGTTTCCCCATTTGCACAACAAGAAGTCATACAAGATGGCCCTGTGGTTCCTCCAGCTGTGACCCAATGGTTAACAGACCGCTCCAGCCACTGAATGTGGCCCCAGCCCCACCCACGGCTCTCTTACCTGCTCACCCGGCCAGCCCTTCTGTCCCCCAACCCACTACCTCTTACCTTTGTCCCCACCCCAGCAGCCCCTTCTCCAGCTGCCCACCAGGTCAGGAGAGCCGTGGAGTCTCAGCCCCGGTGCTGGAAGCCCCCAAGGCCAGGGACCCCAGGCAAGAAGGGACCCGCTGCCCCAGTGTTCCTAGGCTCAGGACAGGGGGCACACTTCACCCTCTGCCCAGTGCCATGGTCCTGGGAGGGCTCAATGGGGAGTGTCCCGGGATGGGGAAAAAGGCAGAGGAGCCCGTCCTGGTTCAGCCAGACCCTAAACCTGAGCCACCCCAGAGCAAGCTACAGCTCAGAGTGCGTGCGAGGAAAGCGACAGCCGCAGGCGCTCCCAGCACCACACAAACACCAGTCCCTCCTGGGGCCGCAGGACGTTCCCGAGTGTGTGTGCACGGCTGTGTTTACCAGAAAGCAAGAGGAGCAAAGGCCAAGGAAACCCCAGGACTGCAGACCTCTCCCTGCAGGGCTGACCTGTCCCCTCACTGCCCGCAGATGCCGGGCACTTGGGGGAGACCCCATGGGTAACAGCAGAGGGCCTCACTCTGCTACCCAGTATCCCTGAACGGGTCCTCGGCGCTGAAGGCCACTGGGCAGGGAAGGGCCACAGGACTGTCCCCTGGAGCCTGCAGCTGCCCCTTCGGCAGGGTGGGGTAGACTGGCTGGGGGACAGGGAGCAGGATCGAGGCTAGAACGGGGTCAGGGGTCTGGACCAAGGTTGGACCAACCCCAGGCTGGATCGGGGTCTTGCCACACACCCCACTTGTCTGTGCCGAGTCTGGGTCTCCCACACCCAGATGGGAGCAAACAGCGATGCCTCACCCCTGTTGACCCAGGTGCTCCCACATGGCTCCACCACGCCCTACGACCACCCCCAGAGAGGGGCCCTTCCTCCCCACCACACCCCCTCAGTGAGGCCCCAGGAACCCTAAGCAGGGCTGACCCCAGTTGGCCAGCAACAATCCCCCAGGCCCACTACCATGAGGCAAGAGCCCCACTTGTACCCGATGTGTCCCCTCCAACCTTCCTGCCAGGGGCCCCCCTAACCCAGCCCGGCACGGAACCCTCTGCTGGGTCCAGAGCAGCCATCCTTTGGAAACCCCGTGAGGCAACCAGAGTCCTCCCTGTCTGCAGATGAGTAAACAGGCCGGGGAAAGACAGCAGGACCCTCTCCAGGCCCTGACCAGACAGACCCCGTGCGCTTCCTGAAGCTCAAGTCTGGGAGGCAAGAACACCCCGCCCTCGGTCATGAGGGGGAAATCCAGATTCACGGGCTGACGCCCGCATGCTGGGTCACAGCCTGTTGGACCCCACAGGGCTTCAGAGAGGGCCAGCCCCTCCCGACCCAGGTCCCTCCGTGATCTGGGAGACGCTGGAGTGGTGTGGCTCCATGAGGTCCCAAGAGAGGTAAACCAAGGCGTGGGAGCACCGTGGGCAGGGCTGGGACCCGGCAGCTCCTGTGGGGTCTTGGGTGGGGCCACCACGTCCTGTGCTGCGTGAGCCCCAGGCGCATGGGGGCTGGTCCTGGGGTGCAGCCCCCTCCCCGGGCTAAGGCTAAGGTCCTCCCGGCACGCCCCGCACGCCCCAGCTCACCCCTGCTCGCTCACGTGCGCACACACAGGCGGTCTGCCGCCGCCTCCATCCGCGCGGTGGGCCGGGCACGGGGGCGAGACCCAGAGCGCGGGGCGCACCGGCCCCCCTGGGATGCTCGGCAGCCTGGCGGCCGGGAACTATATATAGTGCCCGGGCGTCACGTGGGCGGGATGACCAGTGCCTGGCAAGCCACCCGACTTGTGGCTCCCACACCTGCCGCCTACATGTAACCGCAGCCCGGTCAGCGGGCCCAGCCAAACGAAGGGGCTGCGGAGGGCCGGGCAGGAGAGAGGAAGCGGCAGGAGGAAGGGGAAATGCAACAGCAGAGGGAGGTGGCTGACCACCTCGAGGCGGGACCCTGCCTCCCAGGCGCCTGCCTCCTGCCTCCAGTGCATCGGCACAGGAAACCATCAGCCCCAGGTGCACCCTCCCCAGCACCCTCTGGGGCTCCCAATGACCCCTGCCAGGAGGAGGTCCCACAGCAGAGGGGGCCTACCCAGAGCTGGGAGCTGGGGGCCCTCCGCACAGGCAAAGGCCTGCAGGACAAAGTCTCCACCCGGCTGAGGAGAAGAGGCTGCCGGTGAGAGGTGGGTTGGGGAGGCCGACGCCCACCGGCTGAGGGCCAGGGACCCCTCACCTGGCCTGCTCCACCCCTGCAGCTCTCCAGCCTCACGCCGGAGGACTCCTGAGCACCTTCCTGTGTGTTACTGTGTGCCCGGCACCACACCTCACTGAACCCTCGCTGAAACCTCACCACCGCCGGGGAGCCCGCTGTCCTCCCACCCACCCCTTACTGTGTGCACATGGGGAGACTGAGGCCCTGGGACTGAGAGCCCACACGGGGTCACCCAGGAAGCTGTCTCCACACCCCATTCACCTTCACCAAGAGACCCTCTGCGATGCTGCCAGGTAGAACCATCCCCAGGGTCAGGCCAACCCCACCAGCAGGGTCCCGGCTTTGCCTCCTGGGAGCACCATGTAAGGAAGGCAGTGACCCCAGAAGATGGGCGTCAAGAGTCGAGCCTGGCATCACAGTCAACAGTGTGCCGCTCTGGCCAGCCCAGGGGCCCTCGGAAGAGAGGGGAGCAGGGCGCACAAGCCCCAGCACACAGGGTCCCGGGAGGCCTTGCCTTGCTGGGAAACTGCCTCCGAGCCCAGCTCCCAGCCAGCCAGCCTGGCCGCTGAAATCGGCAGTCAGAGCCACAGGGCTGGGGGGAACAGGGGTGTGCTGGCAGGGGCCCAGGCCAGAGTACGGCCCCCTCCAGGCTCATCCCCACACACGCACCCAGAAAGCATCAGCCATGGCATGACCCTTGCTGGACAGGCAGGCAGGAAGGAAGCCCCACAGAAGCCCCACACACAGGCCCACCCTCACCAGACCACATGGTCTGCCCTTCAGCTCAAGGAACCCGAGGCAAGGGCTCTTATCCTCGTGCCTCCATCTGGCACCAACATGGGCTTCAAGCCAGGACTCACATTTCAGGGCTCTTAGCTCCCCACTTCCAGCAGCATCTTCCTGAAGGCCATCTCTGGGCACTCAGTGACCCCACCACCACCAACCTCCCATCCTGACTGCTTTCAGAGGAGCTGTCCCCTCCGACGCTGCCTGCCGTGAACGAGACACATTGGCCACATTGTGCGGATAAAACACAACAGATCAGAGAGGTTGCGTGACTCGCCCAAGTCGCCCAGCCAGGAAATAGAAGAACCACGGTGGGGGCTGAGTTTTACTGAGCCGCAAAGACCCTGCTCTTGCCGGCTCTGGCCCTCTGGGAGAAAGGCCCTCTGGGAAGGCCACTTCCCTCACCCCAGTCTGAATCCTCATTCGTA